AGCACCCGCCCGCAGCTGCGTGGAAGGTAAAAAAATCAGAATCACGGAACCGTTTGGGTTGGGAAAGAGCTTTGAGATCAAGTCCAACCGCTAACCCAGCGCTGCCGGGGCCACCACATCCCTAAGCAACACGTCTACACATCTTTTGCAGACCCCCAGGGACGGTCACTCCACCACTGCCCTGAGCACGACAACCCTTCCAGTCAACACATTTTCCCTACTGTCCAACCTAAACCTCCCCAGCACAACTTGAGGCCGTTTCCTTTTCTCCCATCCCTTGTTCCTGGGGAGCAGAGCCCGACCCCCCTGGCTCCAACCTCCTCCCAGGCAAGGCTCCTTTTCTCCAAACTAACATGACGGGGGACACGCTGCCTGGGAGCTGGCACTGCTGCAGCCCGCTGTATAAATACAGTTCCTTCAACTGTACAAGCCTCCCTGACCACGCTAGTCAAGAGAGTGGGAGATGCAAGCGTTCAGCAGCCCTAGGAGTCAGACCCAGGTACAGCTGAAGGGAATAAGACAGTTCTTAGAGTCGGGGCCCCACCGCACTGTATAACACAAGGATGGCCAAGCTGTGTCATTTCGGGTCATGAGCTTAAGTAATTGCAGTCCCTGAGGCTACACAGAAGAAGCAATCCATCAAAACCCAGCGCACCAGGCATCAAGTGTGCACACAGAGGGTGGGAAAAGGGAGCCCTTTACACATTTTGGGTGATTATTTGGTGAAAGGATCAAAGCAGAGAGCTCTCACAAACTGACTCCTTCCACATTCTCAGCTCCCTGTCTCAGTCTGACCACATCAGCTTTCCTTTGTGAGAATGAGCAGTTTGGTAGGAGAATCCTCCAACAATTCTGCAAAGCATACGATTGCTTCATTCCTCTGCCTAAAAGTTTCCTCCCTCATAAAACAGAGATGGGCATCCTCTGCACCCTGAAGGCAACCAATCTACCTTGTGCATCTTCTCTCTAACTCCCTCCCAACCAGAGGCCCGGGGAGTGCCCCTGTGCCCAGCCTGCTCATCACCTCTCAGGTCCTGCCTCCTTGGTTGCCTCAAAAGCTGCATTGACCCTTTATGAGGCTGCACTCCTGCTGAGGAGGGGGTACCTGCACCTGGGAGTGAAGACCACAAGGAAAAATGTCCAGGGTAACAGAGAAGAAATGATTTAAGCAACAGGGAAAAGTGAAGTTGGTACCTGTGGGAAACTGGCTACAATCTAACCAGCCTAGGTTAAGCTCTGCCTTTCCCAGCATCAAATTTTGGCAATCTTGTAACAGAGGGCTGGATTAAAATGTCACCCCAGCTACGCAGGTTTACTGGGGTTTGTTTGTTCTGGAAAAAAAAAAAAAAAAAAAGAAAAAAAAAAAGGAAAAAAAAAGGGAAAAAATTTTTAAAAAAACCACAAAAACAAACAAACAAAAAAACAAAAACAAAGAAACAACCAACAAACTATTTATGAGGAGCAATGCCTGACCTGCCCTTAGCAGGCAACAGAACTCCTGACCTCCACATGGGCTGAGATTTCATTCATGAGGAATGGTTCAATGGGGTGAAAAAGCACCACATGGGGATCCAGGGGATGTAGGTCTTGTCTTTTTCAAAGTCTGTCAGGTGCACTTGTTGCAAGTCCCCAGGCATCCAATCTGACAATGTGGACAGCCTCATAGGTCTAGTGCTCTGGCAACGCACCCTCCACGCCAGCCCTGCCACAAGCAGGCAGGCTAGGAGACGGCTTTGCTCCATTAAGGAGCCAGCTCTTGGCAAAGGTTCAAGCAGCTGAAGCATAACACTTCAGAAGAGCACTGAAGGGAGAGCCATAGCCCAGCTGTTTCCCCTCGTTCTCTGGCAATATGAGGACTGATGTTTTCTCAGACTCCCTCAGACTCCTTCTCCTTCCTTCAGCTGGGCTGCTGTATTTTTCGGCTAGAAAAAGGGTAAAGGAACATTATCTTCTCATTGATCAGCAGCAGCTCCCACAGACCACCATCCTTGTGGGTACAGGCAGTGACTTCCCGAAGGAATGCACTGGGTATGTCCACTCTCCTAACAGCAACGAACTCCCATTATTTTTTCTTGCCAAACCATCTCCCTCACCAAAGTCAAGGGCAGAGAGCACGGAGCCCATTGGACAGTGTCCTGCCACCACCCTTACCCTGTCAGATGAAAAGACGAATCAAGTAAAAACAAGAAAAAACACTCCCTAGGACTGCCGCAATGCTTCCCTGGTCTGCCAAGACCTGGAATCTCTCTTAACCTAATGGAAATAAGTGTGGTTTTTTAATATAAGGACACACTGTTTTTGACAAATGCCATCCCAGCTCACCTTGGACTGTTCCTTGCATCCTGCTGTGCATCAGCTGGCAGGTAAACAGCAAAGATCAGTTCTCCCTGTGCAGTGGCTGAATTAATGTCCTTCCTATAGTGCAGTGAGCATAATAGGAATCAAGAGCCCAGTGGTCAGATAAAGCTTTTCTGCCCAGAACAGATCTAAATTACTCCCTTCTGACCCAACTGGTAGGAGCATGGAGTATTTTAATCCCCTTTAGGATCTGGTCACCATAGCAGATCCTGTCATACCTGCAGAACACAGTGACACAGCAAGTGACTTTAGCTGCTTCTTGCAGCAATTGCAAGAACAATCTGTGGCCAGGCTCCAGAAGGATGGAGCAGCCACAGGGAATAATAATCTTCAGATGCACCAGTCAGTCCTTTCACCCTGGCTTCCTCTCAATCTTACCACTTCCAAAAATAGTTTGCAGATTGTGCAGAAAGGACATGGACGAGGAGATACTGTTCCTGGAACTCTGAATTTCTTCTTGACTTGTCCTTGAGCCTTCCCCAAATTATTAAGCTTTTGCCAACCATTTATTCCATGAGTGCAGCACCCTACAGCTGGTTGGATACTAGAGATATAAGCAGACATATTTGCTGCTCCAGCAGCCTATTTTCCCACCAGCAAGTGTCCACACCTGTTCCTTGGCACTGATGGAATAGCATGTTGTGGATCGAGGAGACATCTACAATACCCCAAGCACCAGATGCTGGTCAGTGACCACTGTAGGACTCAGTTGTGTTACGTTGCTCTCAAGAACTGACTGACATGGGAGCCATAAGCTGAACGGTCAAGATATTTGCCAAGACTTTATCATGCTAGGTTGGGCAAGGACAGAAAGAAAGGAAATCACTCCCACCTGGTTTTTCTTTTGAAAGAATTATGATAAGTAATGCAATTCTCATGTCCCAGGGAAAAACATCTTTCTGAATCAAATTAAAAAGAAGGCTTTTTTTTTCCAGGACAATGCTCTTTTTTTTTTTTTTTTTTCCCTTAACATGGCTCCAAAAAACCCCCCAAAAACATACAATGGGGATGCAGTTGGGTTCAAGACCTCTGATAGATGCCAAATCTTACATAATCTTTGCTGTCTCCCCGCTTGTTACTAGGTTATCTATCTTCAGAGGGGAATTTATTGAAGGTGACATTGCTTACAAATTGATCAAAATCAGCTTCAGTGAAGTGTCCTTCCAAGATATAAAGAGATGGATAAAATTTACTCAGTTGATCATTAATAACTTCAGTCTGTGGAATTGGTTATCTCCTTTTGACAGAGAAAATAGAGCTTGCAGATTGAACTGTTTTAATCTTATCTGAGAAGAAATATGACAGACCTCCAGAGATACACCAGA